AATAGATAAGCATGATATCGGGGGTGGGAGGGCAATAGATGGGGGAGGGGGGCTGTTACTTTGTGAGGGTGAAAAGGGTAACTATTGCATTGTTCTGTACACCTGAAACTAACAATAAAAAAAAAGAAAGCTCATTCAAGATATTTCAAACAGACTATTGTTGAGAGCAAGGCTGGAGGGCTGTTACATCAGTCCAGCTGACATTAAAGCTTGGACTATCCTAAAAAAGAAAGTACAGTTTGCTAATACTTAATGAAATCAGTTTGGTTGCTGATTGTTTTGGGAGGTATGAGAAAATTTGTCTCCCATGTTGTGGCGAGTTTATTAGGTTAAAGAGGCCTGAAAGAAGGCAAGATTCATATGCCTTCCTAGTGTATAACCTATGAATGTTCATCTTTTTGTGTTTTTTTAAAATAAATCCTGTCTCATTTTCTAAATGGTCCCACACAGTTATCTCTTCAAGATTTCTTCTCTGATTATGCCATCCATCAAATAAGACTCTCATATCTAGACAGGTAGAGGAGTTTGCTATCTGGGGTTTGTGTGATTGCTCCATTCAGGCAGATTGACACGTGGCTTGCATTACCATGATGTTAGGCCAAGAGGTAATACATGGTATGTGACCACTGATGTGTATTCAAACTTATATTTTTGTTCTCTGCGGGAGACCGGCTCCCACAAGTCCAGGGGTTCCCTCAAGTGGAGACGGCGTCCACAAGGAAATGTTTCTTCCTTCCCAGGGTCTATTTTCCTTAGAAGTTTGTTTTTCTCCGAATTTTACTTCCTCACGATGTTTCTATTACAGGGTACAGCCGAATCTGTTCTTCACTAATGACTAACTTATCCTAACTATGTTTCAATTTCTTCCATTAATGGCCAGAGCTGAGTTCCTGCCTTGGCACTTAAAGTATGTTTACTACTTAGCAACCGTTTGAAACACTACTGGCTAAACAGGATCTTAAGAATTATAAGGTGCATAACTAGTCTATCACTAAGAATCTATCATTAAGAAACTAACAGTAAAACAGAATTATTGTAGTATGTCCAAAACTCACTTATTTAAAGAAAATAAATAAAACAATCAATATAAGTAGGGGTGTCAGATCTTTATCCTACTGGGGGCATCCAAAGGGGAATTTAAACTTTTCAAAACATAAAGCAGCATCTGTTTCTCAGCCAGAGCTTCAGGATTTGTCACAATAGCTGTGTGATAGGCCATGTCAGACACTGAGGTGCAGCCGGCTCCCAACAGTTCTCTATTTCAAAATACAATGATGGTGGTAGCTTTCCTCAAGGAAAAATAGTGGTTGGGATTCTTTTCCAGAATTTTGGCAAGGAGAAACTTCATTATGAACATGGTGGATATGCGCCTTAGCCTTCCCACCTTCAGAAGGATGAGGAAATGTGGTGATGCGAGATTCTCAGAAGGACCCCCAAGTAAGAGTAGATGACCAGGCAGCCTGGTTTGCAAGTAGTTGCCCCTGGGACTATGTAACTCTGCATGGTCTTCTTTTTCTTCTCCCACTGTAAAGGTGAAGAGTGAGAGAACTGGAATAATGGTTGAACAGTCCAAATTGTAGGCCTGGTATAACTGAGGTGAGCGTATATAGAATATTTTGTAACATTTCTATACATTTATGGACACTCATTGCTATGCACTTCCCCACAGTACCCTCTCCTAATTTCCACCCCAACAATAGCAGTGTGAAATGGTGTAATGAATATGAAGATAGAACTCCTCCAGAAAGACAAATGGAAAACAAGCAGGATGGAACCCTGGGGGAATGGTTCAAGATCACGGTGAGTAAACTGACAAAATGTAGGAACTGTGTAAGGGATGCAGATCAAAGGGAGTTGTGCTGATCTCATGTAGAGATGCTAGGAACTTTGTTGAGGACAGGCGGAGTTAACATCCATGATTACCTAAGTGCAGGTTCAGAGAAGCACTATAAAGGGAACAGGCTCACTGAAGGAAGGTCATGGGAGGTTGTCTAAAGGGAAAGGTAAAAACTACTGCCAAGGAGATGAAGCATCTCCTCACCAGATGTCTGTTTGGCTCAAGCTGAGCGTGGGGGTGTTGATTCCTTCTAGTTCTTATCAGAGGCACAAGTAGGGTCTTCAAATAGGTTGGATCCTGTCTGGAACCTTATTAAAGGAAGATCATTTTAAGCATCTAAATTTGATTATTTCAGAGGTAAATATTGGAATAGAAAGGAAAATTGGAAAATCCATGTCTGACAAAAAAAATTAAGTTGAAATTATGTCAAAGGTCTCACTTTAGAAGTCTTTTAAAGCTCGGTAGAAGGTCAGAATAGAATGCTGTGTTGGGTCCATTCTCCAGCCATATTTCCATGTTGTCTCTTTTCTCTTCCATCTTTTCTTTATACATTTAGATTCATTCCTTATGGGATGAAGTATGACAAGATATGGCTAATAAATTCAATCGAGAGCCATTGCAGTGTCCCCTTCACTCCAGTGGATGTAAGAGAGGGCAGTGAAGCCAGATTACGGCACACAGGGCAGAGGGAGAGACCTGGCTCAGTAGGGGCCATTGGCTTATGACACTATTGTTGCTCCAATCTCTGTAGTTCCACTATGCAAACAACCGAGCCAGGTTCTCTCTCCAGGGTGCTAGCACTGCCTCTGCATTGAGGGATGTCAGCTACAAGATTTGTAATGAGAAGAACCAAAATGTGTGTATGGAGGGCATTACCTGTACACAGTCCTGGGACAGGACAGGCCAGGGGCTGGTCATCTTCTTTGGAACTGGAATTCCTAGTGCTTACCCCACCTCTACTTCCTGTAGATACCTATCTTTGTGAATACTTCTGTTGTACCCTACTCTGTGTGGGATAAGTTGAAGACAAGGGAAATGGAGTGGCTAAAGGTAATGCAGACTCAAGGCATGTTGTCTGCCCACACCCAGACCCACATCTTCTTCCTCCAGTCCCCAATTTTCCTGTCACCACCACAGCCTCAGAGCTCTCTCTTTGTCTCCTTCTGCAGCTGACCGTGAACAAGAGATATGATGTCTCCCAGAAAGCTCTTGACCTTCATAAGCTCTGTTATTACCCAGGTATGGCTGACAGCAGTAATTCTAGGACAGGTGAGGGCAGAGGGGTCTGCTTAGGAGGGACTTAGGGATGGTAACGAGGGAGGGGTTAGTAGTGGTCATGGACCTTTTCAGCCTTCTGATTCCATCCTCTCACCTTCCCGAAGACTTGGTAGGCCTTGATATTGATATAATCCTGAATCGAAGAAACTGCATGGCTGCCACCCTGCAGATCATCAAAAAGAATTTCTGAGGTGAGACCTAGTATTATGGTAGGGGGTGGAACAGATGGCGTGGAAGGCAAATTTGTCCTCAAAACCCTAACCTTCACTCTAACTCTTCTCCCCGCAAAGCTGCTGTCCTTGAACTTGTGCAAGAACAAACTGTACCAGCTGAATGGCCTGTCTGACATTATACAGATGGCCTCCACAGTTAAGATCCTGAACCTCTCCAGAAATGAGGTGAGAAGAGGGAGCCAGATCAAAGTTGGGTTGTGGGGGGAAGGGTACTCATCAGAGTGATAACAGGAGGCAGACAAAGGTACCTGTGGGGCAGGGAGGGAGCTGTGTCTACAGGGGCAGTTTCCTTCCCATATTTCTCAGCTAAAGTTGGCATGTGAATTGGATAAGATGAAAGGGCTGAAGCTCGAAGAGCTGTGGCTGGAAGGGAACCCCTTGTGCAGCACCTTCCCAGACCAGTCCACCTACATAAGTTTGGTGATAACCACTGTTACCCTTCCTGGGGACCTTGGCCCCTTAGAAGCCAAATTATGCTTGACAGTGCCCCTCTGCTGGAAGCAGCAGCTCCAGTCCTCTGGGAGGACCAAAGGCCCTGCCCTCTCCTATCTCATTATATATATCTTTCATCTGAGCTTAGAAGTCTACTTTCCTTCCTCTGACCTGCTCACCTGTTCTCTGGTCTAAGGTCTTGTTCCTCACTCTGCACCTAGTGTTCTCTGGCATGCCCACCGAAGAGTGTGCTCCAGGAAGCAGGATGTCCTTTCCTCACCAACACCAGGGTGGTCCAGCCTTATGCCAGATGTTGGTGCCCTGCACTGAGAAGGGTCCTCCAGCCCAGGGTCTTATTCTGAGACTGGCCTTCCTACTCCAGGCTCAGATGGGGTTTTTCCCCTACTGCCCTGAGAGGGGCCCTGTTTCTTGTGCTCCAAAAGGGTTTCCCTTGAATCCCAGGCTGACATGGGGACTTTCACACTCTATGCTAATGGCTGAGGCCCTGGGTGGCTGCCATCATGACATTTGTTCCTCTGGCCCAATGCCAGGAGCTGGGTCCTTCTTGGGAGAAACTGGGGTTCCCTGAGTAAAGGGGCCAGAAGTGGGCCACCACCAGTGAGCACAGGGCGTCTTGAGGGGGAAATGGAAGGCCAAGGGCAGAGGGGGTTGAGGAGACAGAAGGACAGACCTCTCAGGGGCACTGCCCCTCCCTCCCTCCACACAACACATCTTCCTGCCTGGTCCTTCAGAGGAGCCCTGGGTAGCCCGACATGGGTATGATTCCTCAGGTGAGGTACCAAGTCAGAGAGGCACAGATGCACAGGAGCCATGAGAGGAGAAGGCGGTGATCATAGAAGGAGGCCACAGACCCTCTACCCCATGCTGAGCTGGGGCCTGACCACTTTCTCCATCTGGGGAAGGTCTGCTGTTCCCGGCATGCTCCATTTCCCCTGCCCAGGTCAGACTGAGCTCCCACAGGTGACAAGGGCTCAGTCAGCATGCAATAGGCCCCCAGCCCAATGGGTGCATGTTTTCCATTCCTACCAGGGGACCCAGGACCAGCCAGGGGCAGGTGAGGCAAAGATACACAGACATAAAAGGAACTATTTCCTCTTTCTTCTCTCCTCGCTGACCCCACCCCCATGACAGAGCTTCTTTGCCTTCCTTTTGCTTTTCTTTCTCTTTCTCCCCTGTCTCTACTCCCCTATGTCTCCCCGATCTCTCCCCTCCTATCTTCATTCCCTTTTTGTCTTCATCCCCTTCCCTTTCCTTCTCTTCTTCCTGCACCCTGCCTCAGTCACACCCCCACCCCAGCATCCCAGCCCATCTCTTGGGCGTGTCCTGGTCCAGGAAAAATGCTGGACCCCCAGTGAGGTAGCAGAGCCTTGGGTTCCCATCCCATTGCTTCTCTGGAGCATTTAGTGGGGACCTGGAGGAAGGAAGGGAGGCAGGATGGGGGAAGAAGCCCTGAATCCTGGGATCCAAATGCTGCTTCTTGTGTCACAGAAGCGAGTCTGGGCAGTTTAAGTGAGAGCTACTCAGGGTGAAGGAGGGGGAGGAGAGAGAGTTAGTGAGAGTGAGAGAGGAGGAGCAGATGCTCAATGCTCAGCAGGGAAGTGGACCAAGAACCTTTGAAATCATAGACTTAGGTGGGAAAAGGGGGACTTTTGAGTGGGCAGAACACACTGGTCTCTGTTTATGGCATCAGCATTTTAACTAAAAGGAAGCATTGCAACCCAAACTATCAACCACTCCTTTCTATTTTTGGTTTTGGACAGTGCCATCAGGAAATATTTCCCCAAGTTGTTACACTTGGTAAGTGTCTACATTCATCATTGTCTCTTACTAGCATTGACCACCTCCACACCTGCATTCAAGCCCTTTGGGTCTTTCCTAGATTACATGTTTGCATCAGATCCTTATACATTTTACAAGACATAGACTCCTGAAAAGGACATGAATATGCTCTGTGGAAAAATGTACACACACACACACACACACACACACACAAGTTGTATATAACAGCAGAATTTTCCAAGACCTCATGATGCAGATGCCCACTGGAATCTGCCCATGGAATTTCCAGGGCCCTTTTGCACCTGATCTCTGACCTTCACCTTCTCTTAAACCTATCCTTTTCCTTATCATCCAGGACCACCTCCCTCATCTCCATTGATGACTTTCTCTTCTCTTTTCCAGGATGGCCAAAAGTTACCCCCACCAATTGTAACTGACATTGTAGGCCTAGAGATAATAAAACCCTGTAAGGTGAGAACAGACCAAGCAAGATTTGGGGTGTTGCAAGGCATGCTTTGTCTACCACATTGTTTGAAGATATCTTTTGATTCCAGGAAAGCTATAGAGGATCTGAGACCCTGAAGAATTTAGTCTTTCAATTCTTGCTTCAGTAAGTAACTCCTGGGACCGTGAGGCAGAAGAAAGCTGGGAGAGGAGAGGCTTACCAAGCACAGGTGTGCTCATGGGTTGAGGTGAAGCTTCAAGGCCCCTGAGAGGCCCAAATCACAGTGATAGCTTGTCCCTTTTGCTCCCTCACAGGTATTACTTGATCTATGATTATGGAGACCGACAGAGTCTCCTTAGTGCTTATCACGACAAAGCCTGCTTCTCCCTGACCATTCCCTTCAACCCCGAGGACCCAGCCCTGTGAGTGTCACAGCTCAGACTCTGCTCCTAGGCCTGGTGGCTTCCCTGCAGACATAGGCAAGCTCTTGGAAACACCAATACTGGCCAGAGCACCACCTGTTTCTCTTTTTCTCATAGAAGCAGCTTACTTGAGTACTTCAAGAATAGCAGGAATATGAAGGCAGTCAAGGATCATGGTAATTGCACAATGAGAGAAGATCAACATGATAAGGGGTTGTGTGAAAGGGTCAATCATAGTGGCCAAGGGCCCAACCTTACCTCCTCCTGCCCTCATAGACCTGCAGGTTCAGCTGCTGAAGCACGGAAAGTGTGACATTGTTGACTCCCTCAGTGCATTGCCCAAAACTCAGCATGATCTTAATTCCTATGTTGTAGACCTGTGTGTCCAGACGGTGAGCACTTGCTTCCTCCTTCACACAGACCAAGAAAGTCAGAGGTGGGTAGACAGCTTAGAAGGATACTGAGAATCTTAGTAACTGCTCTCCCCTTTCAGGAAATGATGCTCTGTTTTTCTGTCAATGGGATGTTCAAGGAAGGTGAGTGTGTGTAGTTCCCTCCCTAGATCCTCCACTTCTCCTTTTCCCTAACTGGACTTCCTCCCAAACATTCCCAGCTTCCCAGGTTGCTTCCTTTTCTTTCCTTTCCTCTCCTCTCCTCTGCTTTTCTTGTTTTTTCTTCTTTTCCCTTTATTTTCCTTCTCTTCCCTTCCGTTCTCTTACTTTCCTTTTTATACCCTTTACTTCCCTTCCCTTCCCTTTCTCCCACCCCCACCTTGCTCCTCAACTATCCTGGCCTGACATACTTTATGCCTTTCTGCCCCAATGCAGCCCATGTGTCAAAGACAAAGCTTGTGGAATTTTATAGCTGTCATCTCAGTTCCTTACTCTATGACCTTGGGTCCATTATCTAACATTTCAGTTTCTTCATTTGCAAAATGGGCTGATATACCCTTCTCTTGGGCTGCTTTAAAAAATGATTCAAGGAAACATGTGTTTGTCAGAGGATCTGACACTTGTTAGGGGTCCTATTACTGGGAGTTGATTGTTGCCCTCTCAGAACTTGAAACCGCCTCCTGAATCTCAGTGAAAAATTGTGCCTGTATGGTTCCCATCAGGGTACTGCTAGAGTATCAGGTAAGACCCTCACTGGGGAATGCTGCTTGTGTTAAAAGTTTTTACAACTCTAAGAGGGGTTTGCTGTTTGTTGTCATTGAAGTGGAAGTAAAGTCTCAAGAGTCTGTCCGTGCCTTCACCCGAACCTTCATCTTGACTTTTGGCAGCAATTCCAGGTAAGTGCTGTGTTGTGGGTGCAATATAGGAATGAGCATGCATCCCAGCCTAAGTCCAGTGGTGTAGGAATATGATGGTACAGCTTGGAGGTTTTCTCAGCATTGTATAAAGCCAACAACAGGTAGACCCAGGGAGAGGTCTAGATTGGTAGTTAAGAGCGTGGGCTCTGGAGTCAGAATACCAGATTCTTTTCCTGACCTCAACACTCACTAGCTAGCTAAGTGACCTTGGTCAAGTTATAAGAACTCAGTGACTCATTGTCCTCCGAAAATGGGGGTTAAAGTGCCCATTCCTTGGGCTGCTGTAAAGGGTAAATGCATTAGGATTAAATCTACAAATCTAGTGAAGATAGTAGACCATCTCTCCAAGAGTGGGTTCTGCAACAGGGGCAGAGGTAGCAGCCAAGGAATCGGGGGGGGGGGGGGAGGCAGGTGTAGTCGGGGTATGGAAGGAATCTGGTTGCTGAATGGCAGTGGAAACAGGATCAGTGTTGGGAGTGTGAGGTTGTCTATTCCTCCTGTTGTCTAAGGGCCCGTCTTCCTTTCAGTCTGTGCATCGTGAACGATGAACTGATTGTGGGTAAGGCCAGGACAAAAGAAACCCAGAGTGCCTTATCCATTCCAGTACCCACATCCACCTCCATCTCCATGCGCAGCCTCTTCGCGGATCAGCAAGAAATGGTGCAGGTTATCTCCACCCAGTCTGGGATGAACCTGCAGTTGTCTCAGAAGTGAGTGGTAAGAGTCTATGGGGATAGGTGGTAGCTAGGAGGGCAAGGGAGTGGATAATGGGAACTTGCAGTTCATTTGTAAAAATAGCTTGGATGTGGTGCTTCCAAAAAAGTGAGCTCATGAAAAATGTATATTAATTTTATTGTGATGTATGTAAATAATTTTAAAATAATATAATGTTCAGACGACATGAGCTTGCATATATAAAATCCTAAGGAAACCACTAAAAAACTATTAGAATTTGCTTGATCACTGTACTGTACACCTGAAGCTGATGTTGTATAATATTATATGTCAACTATAAGTGAATTTATATATATATATATATATATATATATATATATATATATATATAGTCATGGGACGTGGAGTATAGTGTGGGAGTGGAGTCAAGGGATTTGTAATAGATATGTATGATATTGGGGGGAAGTGGGGCGGCGGATTGGGGGAGGAGGGTTGTCGCTTAGAGGGGTAAAAAGTATAACTATTCCACTGTGTTGTACAGCTGAAACTAATTCTAAAAAATGTGTATTTCACAATAAAAGATAATAAAAAAAGAAAAGTACTGAATACCTTTAAAAAAACTATTAGAATTAATAAACAAGTTCAGCATGATTGCAAGACATAAGATCAATATACAAAAATCAATTGTATCTCTATACACTAGTAAGGAACAACCAGAAGTGAAATTAAGAAAATAATTTCATTTACAATAGCACCAAAATATAATGTTTAGGAACAAATTTAGCAACAATGAAAAACGTATACTCTGAAATATGCAAAATATTGCTGAAATAAAATTTTTTTAAAGATTTTTATTGGGGAATTGGGGGATGGGAACAGCGCTGGGGAATTGGGGGAAGGGGAACGGACAAGTTGCTGTCATTTTGTTTTTCAGTCTAGTTGTGGAGGACGTTGCTTAACTGGCCCAAGTTGGCACCATCATGCACTCTTCCTGGGTGAGGCAGATCAGTCGACAGCTTCTGGACTGCCGTTCATGCTGGCTGCTGGCTACACACGGTAGCCCATGGCAACCCACTGCAGCAGGGGCTGTAGCTTACGCCGTCGCCGGCAACTCACAGCAGTTCAGCTCCAGTTTGAGCTGTTGTTTAGTATCTTAGCTGTTGAGGGCAGTGTCACTGGCCCTCATATGTGGGATCCGAACCGGGGCCCTCTGGCATCCCAAGGCAGCTCTTAACCAACTGAGCCACTCAGCCGGCCCAAAATAAATTTTAAATCACCTAAATAAGTAGAAAGGCATGCCATGTTACTGGATCAGAAGAATTAAAAGAATTAATATTGTTAAGATGACAATATTCCCCAAATTTGTATGCAGATTCAATGCAATCCATATCAAAATCCCAGCTGGTTTCTTTGTAGAAATTGACAACTTAATCCTAAAATTCATAGGAAAATTCAATGGACTCAGAATAGACAAACTAATCATCAAGAAGAACAAAGTCAGAGGACTCATACTTCCGTTTCAAAACTTAGTACAAAGCTACAGCAATCAATACCATATAGTAATGGCTTGAAGATAAACATATAGAGCAATGGAACAGAATTAGAATCTACACACACACACACACACACACACACACACACACACACACACACACACCCCCTCATCTTTACGACAATTGATTTTCAATCAGGATGCTAGAAATATCCAATGAGCAAACAATAGTCTTTTCAACAACAGATTCAGAGACATCTGGATACCTGCTCAGAGAAGAATTATTTTGCAAGTCTCTCTTACACCATATACAAACAAATAAAGTTGGAGCTAACACTATAAAAATCTTAGAAGAAAATATAGGGGTAAATTCTTTGTGACCTTGAATTATGCAACAGTTTCTGTACAGTGCCAAAAGCACAATAAAAAATTAAATTAATTGGGTTTCATCAAATTTTACAACTTTTTGCATCAAAAGACACAAACAATAAAGTGAAAAGACAACCTGTGGAATCAGAGAACATATTTGCAAATCGTATATCTGATAAGGGATGTGTATCCAGAATATATAAAAAAACTCTTAGAATTGAAAAACAAAAAGGCAAGTAACTCAATTAAAATTGATAAAGATCTCAATAGACATTTATCAACAAAAAAGGCCAAACGTTACATGAAAAGATACTCAACATCATTAGTCATTTGCAAAATGCAAATCGAAAATAGAGTGAGATACCGTTTCACACACACTAAGATGATAGATATAGATAGATAGATAGATAGATAGATAGATAGAGCCAAAAAATGTATACACATTTTAAGAATGGAAAAAAATCATATTAAAATTGTAATACTCAGTATATAGTCACGTTTGACTTCTGCAATTATAAGAGGTGCTCAAGGTGGTTACCATCAGCCTCCAGACACTTCTGATTATGGCAAACTACTGCTACATAGATAACATCTCTTAAAATGTATATACATTTTTTGGCTCTCTCTCCCCCTCCGTGTGTGTGTGTGTGTGTGTGTGTGTGTGTGTGTGTGTGTGTGTGTTGGCAAAGATGTGGAGAAACTAACTCTCCGTTGCTGGTGGGAATGGAAAATGTTGTAGCCACTACGGAAAAGTTTGGCAGTTCCTCAAACTGTTAAACATGCATTTACCATATGACCCAGCAATTCCACTCTTGGATATATATCAAGATAATTGAAAACATGTGTTCATACAAAAACGTGTATGCAAATATCCATAGCATCATTATTCTTAATGGCCAAAAGTGGAAACAACCTAAATGTCTATCAATTTATTAATAGATAAATAAAATGTGGTATATCTATACGATGGAATATTATTTAACAATAGATACCTGTTATATATATAACATTATATATATAACAGATACCTGTTCTGATACCTGTTATAACATGGATGAACCTTGAAACTATTATGCTAAGTGATAGAAGCCAGGCACAAAAGACCACATTATATGAGTCCATTTATGTGAAATGCCCAAAGAGACAAATTTATAGAGACAGATAGCAGGTTAATGGTCACAAGGGTCTGGGAAAGGGGGGACTAGGAATTGACTATTAATGGGTAAGGAGTTTTATTTAAGGTGATAGAAATGTTTTGGTATTAGATTATGAAATTCTGATGTCTGCGAAATCTTGTGACTATACTAGAAAACCACTAAATTATGGTTGTTTCACCTTAAAATGATGAATGCTACAGTATGTACATTATGACCCAATTTACAAATGATTGGAAAATTGTATTTTAAAATTTCCATTTGTTATAGATTGAGTGGTGGCACTGCATGGTCAGCATGTCTATACTGTGATACTAGTGGAGATCACCTGTTCTCCCACTCCAGGTGCCCTTGGGACAAACAGTAGAACTAAACCAGGGCTGGTCAGGTCTTCACTATGCTCAAGGTGAGGTCTGGGTATCAAATGGGTTAAAGATGGATGTTTATGGGTCTTTGGGAAGGCCACGAAGGTGGAGGCTAGTGCCCTGGGAATGAATCTCAGAGAGCTGGCTCTTCTGACATCCTGACTTCTCCCCTCCAGACCAACGGCCAGATCCCAGTGGAGGCCTTCAAACAAATACTCTAAGAAGAGCCCTTGGATGTCATCTTTGTCTTCATCTACATAGTTTTGGTTTCTCTTTTCTCTGGCCTAAGGCCATGCCCATGATTGGGGTTGGAGGCCTCACTGAGAAGCTAAAGTTACTTAACTACCTGAGGGTCAGTTGTTCTGTTTATTTTCCCCATTCATGATTGCTGTTTATTTTCATAATAAAGAATGATGTTACGCATTGTATGTTGCGTGTCTTGGATTGCTCTTCCCCTGCCCAACCATGAGCTAATGGCTCCAGGACTGAAAAGCCTCATCCTCTTCACCCCCAACTCCCTCATTCACCCTGACAGTCTCTAGCAGATACATCAGGCTTGACTCATAGGTAGTTTGTCAATAAATTCTGATGAAAAGGGACATACGCTGCTTCCAGGGACTGGCCTTTGGAGACAGTGTGACTCAATCAGATGCTCTACCTGGAGGCCTGCAGAAGCAGGTATGGCACCTGGCACAAAGGGGCTTTGACAGGGATGCCTAATACAACATGTAGGAACCTTTAAAACATTATGCTAAGTGAATAAATTAAATCACAAAGGACCACATATTGTATGATTCCATTTATATAAAACATTCAGAATATGAATATCTATAAATATAGAAAGCAGATTAGTGTCTTCCAGGGGCTGGAACAAAGGGGAAATAGGGCATGACTGCTCAATAGGTATAGGGTCTCCTTCTGAGGTGATAAAAATGTTCTGGAACTAGATACTAATGATGGTTGTATAACATTGTTAACATACTAAATGCCACTGAATTGTACAAGTTAAAATGGTAAATTTTATGCTGTCCATATTTTACCATCATCTTTAAAACTCCACAGTGGAGTCTTTTAAAAATACTGGATTTTTCATGAATATAATATACTTATTGTACAAATGTGAAAAATACAGAAGACTATAAAACCATAGGGAAGAAAACCTCACATAATCCAAATCATGAGCACAATCACCACTGATGATTTTTGCTTTTCTTTGCCCATACTCTTTCCTTATATAACTGATATTCTGGATAAAATTGTTTTAGGAAATGTATTTTTTCATTTGGCATCATTTCATGAGTATTTTCCCTATGTCATTAAAGTCTTCCTAAACAGCTTTTAAAACAAATTGTGAAATACTACAAACAAACAAATAGAAAAATAGTTGAAGCAAGAAATGGCAAAGGCAGAAGCTTTTGTGGGAAAAGGGGTCAAGAGAGTGTGTTTTTAAAAATGGGAGAAATAACAGCGTGTTTTATGCTACTGGAAAGATAACTGATTATAATGAAATCTTTTTTTGTGAAGATATATATGTGTATATCAGTGTGTGTGTGTGTGTGTGTGTGTGTTGGTAAAGGGACAATACACACACACACACACACACACATTCACATTGATAAAAATTTGGAAGGATGTATACCAAAATGTTAGGAATATTTATCAGTGTTAGGATATGCAATACCTGTGGTTTTTTTCATTTTCTTATAATTACTAATTTTTATACTGTGAATACACATATAACTTGGGTAATTAAAAATAAGTTAAAGGATAGGGAAAATAGAATTTGCAGCAATTTCAATAGAAAAAAATTACAATAAAAAAAACTAAATCATTTTCAGAACAAGGAATATTTATAAAGCAACATGTGAATTGAGTTAAGAGTATGGTCATAAGAACCATCTCACTGCTCTCTGTTTCAACTCCAATGTAAGGGCCAAAATCTGGGACCTCCCCAAAAGAATAAAGATGCCTAAGAAATAGAAAGCATGTTTCCCATAAACGCTAATTTCAATGGCTACCCTTTCTACTCTTCGG